GTTGTTTTATCCATTTATAAGTCCATCTAATGGGTAACCCCAGAAAAAGAATTAATTCACTAACCATGTAGCGAATAAAATAAACAGCTTGGTTTGGTAACCACATGCAAATTGATTGTTGAATTCATTTGTTTTCTGGGTTTAAACAATCTATTTTTATTGATTTTGCTAGGCTTATGGACTATCCAGTCATCAACAACTCTGTGCAATATATATATATCCCGATCCCCATAAATTGGTTTAAAAACAATATAATAAAAATAAAACAAATCAATAATACTATACAAGCCGTGTACAACTTCAGGGACAATAATTTATATAACCAACAATTAAAAGAGTTTTCATTATCAGAGAGAACAAAGTCATGGCATCCCAGCCTTTGCTATATCACAAGCTAGCAAAAAAAAAAAAAGGCTAGCTGAGCTACACAAATAAGCCACCAGGTCTTTAAGAGGCCTGGGTTAAGGATGCTGAACAAACCCCATAATTGAAGAGGCTGTTAGTTTTTAGGAAAAAGCTGCATAGCTACCTCTCTCTCTCTCTCATGGATGGTTTTATTTCATTCTCTGTATATTGTGACAAAGTGACCAGATGATTCCTATGGTCCTTTCCACCCTACAAGTTTCTGATTTACAGAATCCAATTTTCCTGCTCCATAGAGCTTCCGTTTTAGTGTGACTTGCTTGGGAATTCTGGGAGTTGAAGTCCACAAGTCTTAAAGTTGCCAAGGTTGAGAAACACTGCCCTATTTGAACAGGTATAGGAAAGGACCATCCATCATGCTATTTATTGATAAGTACCATTGTTGAATAGCTGTTACTACTGAGAGGTTTTATTCCAAATCTTAAATATTGGAGATAACCCAATTCATGACTTTTTCCTTGGTAATTATAGTTTCATGACTTGGAGAGGAATTTTATAGTCTCCTCGTTTTATATTCTCTTCTTCAGCTTCTAATTTCAGCGTCTTTTGTGCTCAGTCTAAAAGTGTGCTATTGATTTTGGTTTTTTGTTGGCAGCGTTACCTCCAGAGCCCACCTTGGAAATTATTCCTGTGAACATCCAGGAGAAGAAGATAACCCAAGTGAGATGTTCGGTACCTTACCATTGCCCTCATAAGCTAATAAACATGACTTTGACTGGTTTAGAACACTTTCCACTACAAAAAAGGACAGTTGGAAGTGGAGTGGTTGAGACGGCCCTGAGCTTTGAACCAACATGGAATGACAATGGGAAAATGCTGAGCTGTTTGTTCAAGTCAGGGGCAGCAGTGTTATCTCAAAGCACTGTGAAGTTGGACGTGAGATGTAAGTGTACAGTGGAGAAGGAAATGGCTCCTTTGAATGATTGTGCCAGCAGGACAGGATTTGGGACCAGAAGCTTAGGAATCTACCCAGCAAATAAACAGAAGGCCCCCAAGCATAGCTGTTGTGGTTCACTGGCAGCCAGTCCAGCTGGCAATGGAGTCAGACAGTGAGGAAGAAAGGGGACCAGTCAGGGAGTCTGGAGAGGACTTGGACAAGGGTCCTGCATCTGATGCAGGGATGGGGCCAGGACCACCTGAGAGTGGGGTGCTGTCTTTGGAGCTTTCAGAGTGTGGCAGCAGCAAGGCAGAGGACCCAGGGGAGCCTGTTCCCAGTGCCTGTGTGTGCAGAGGTGCTAGAAGGCGAGTGCAACTGAAACAAAAGGGGCGACTTGGGAGTAAGGCTGGGAGGTGATTGCCCCTCCCATAAGGGATAAAAGTCAGACCTCAATGATGAAATCTTTGCAGGAAGTTCAATAGATTCCGAGTCCTCCTTGAAACTCTGTGTACTCTGGTTGGTTTTTTTTTTTGGTACTTTGGTTGGTTTCTGTTATAATTAATTTGGATACTTCTGTTTTGGGTAGCATTCCACAGCACTGAAAGGTGTGGGCTTATCTTGGGGAACTGTTTAAGATTAGTTCTGGCTGAGAATGAAAGTAATTCTCATCATTGCATTAAAATAGGTTTTGCTTTTAAAACAAGTTTGTGTTTTGTTATGTTTGATGAAGCCTGGGTCAGAACAAGGGTATGGTTAATTCTGAAACTAATGTAGTCATATGCGTGTGAAGAGGGGCCAACCAAAAAAGACCCTAGTTTTGAACTATGCAGCTGACTGATTTAGGGATTGAGAAAGTTCTACTCAAGATGAGTTGAATTCCATGACTTTTATAGGAAAGTAGTAAGTCTCTTTTAAGTTGGGTTGACTCCAATTGACTTAATGGACATATTCACATGATTTTCTAGTCAGCACTATAGAAATAGTTTGTCATTTTTTAAAATCTAGTACAGGGTTTGCTTGCTTTTTTTGAGTTCTCAGTCAAGTGCACAATCCTAATATTTCAAGATGATCTCCCATCCAGTGGTGGGATGAGGCCAGTTTGCACTGGTTCTAGCAAACCGTTAGCTCTGGTGAGCAGTTGGCCCTACCCCCTCCACCGCCGCCATTTCCTGTCCTATACTTCCTTGTTTTTTAGCTCAGCTGATTCGCGCGGCCGAGCAGATTGCCGCGCTTGAGCTATTTTACTCACCAGTACTAACATGGAAGGTAAGTTTTTAAGGTTAAAATGGGTGGTTTTTGAATGCTGCATGCAAAGCGCACTCTCATAGACCAGTAGTAAAAAAATTTGAATCCCACCACTGCTCCCATCAAACTTTTAAACAGGCCTGGCACAGCTTAGTTTTTCAAGATCTGCTAAAGTCAGTAAGCATTACTTTCTTCCAGGACCTCAGTGAGCTTGCACAAAAGCTGAAAGCTACGAAACTCCAGGAATGAATCTTGTGAGGCTCAATGGTATTGATATCTCTGTATATATATAAAAGAGCCCACGTTGGATGTTCTGTTGCAATTTAGTTCTTTCCAAAAAGGGGAAAAAGCATGGAAAGTGAGACAATTTAAATACACAATTTAAACATAGTTCTTTTTTCCTGTAATCTCAACACGGTTCTCTTTTCCCGTACTGTAATCTCATCATATGTGTGCTTTGCACTGGGCCATTCTTTTGATGGATGTACACCGTAGAAGCTACAGTGAAGAAGGCAATGTGAAGAAGGATTAAAAAGAGGAATTAGACCAAAGTTCTCTATCTCAGCAACTGTAAAATCTTCAACTCCAACAAGTCTGCTGGGAAATTCTGGGAGTTAAGTTCCCTGATATTTTTAATATGTGAATTTAATCAGGGATTGTTTCAACCAGTTTATTTTTTGCCAGGCAAGGCATATGGTTCTATACATACACATTCCTTAATATTATAATATATTCACAATATACTCATGACTATTTCCGCTACTGAGAGATGTATTGATTTGATTTTCCAGATGCTCCCAAGGATGTCCAGCTAGTTATTTTAAATGATCTGCCCATTAAGGAAGGAGATACCATCACGATGAACTGCTCTTTTGGCAGTAGTAAGCCCAACGATAATTGGTACAACTGGTTTAAGTCAGATCCCTCTACGATTGAATATAAATATAGTGGTCCAAATGTAATGACCTACCCTGCAACGCATGGACCTTACAACACTTCTTATGAATGTGAAGTATGCAACAGGGTTGGCTGCACTGCATCGCCAGTAATCATGTTGGAGGTCTTCTGTAAGTAACACGAATGAATTTACAAGTTTGAAAACTTGAATTGCCAAAGAAAGGAAATACAATAAGGCGCCCTAGAAGACATTGGGTTTTGCAGGGAGGAGTCTAAACCAGTTAGAGAATGCATAACTATGGTCAGGAGATGTGATGGGTGGCGGCCTGAATGTTGATGTTCTCTATAGCAGTGTTTTCAAGCTTGACAGCTTGAAGATGTGTGAACTTGAATTCTGGGAGTTGAGGTTCATAATCTTCAAGTGGCCATGGTTGAGAAATACTGATCTGTGGGGTTTCCTTCCTACGGAAATGGCCTCCTATGGAACAGAAGGGATGACACGCCTTCCCCCAACTCACTCTCATGGATTTTCCAGAGTCTCTTTTAAGGGTCATTAACGTCATTTTACTGTACTATAGTATAACAATTTGAATTCCTAAGAGCTGTAATGGCGCAGTGGTTAGAATGCAGTACTGCAGGCTAACTCACGGCTCACTCCAAGAGTTTGATTCTGACAAGGTTCAGCCTTCCATCCTTCTGAGGTCGGCAAAATGAGGACCCTGATTTTTGAGGTCAATATGCTGACTCTTTAAACCACTATAGAGAGGGGTGTAAAGCTCTACGGAGTGGTCTATAAGTCTAAGTGCTATTGCTATTGCTATTTTGTACAATTGGACTTCTCTGCAGTGGAATTAACATGGGTTATAAGGTGGCATCATTTTCCAGTGCTCAATCCCCGATGGTGATATGGAAGGAGCAGGTCATTTCCACGGGAGTCTTTTGCTTTATTTTTGTCTTCTAGCTCCTCCCAAGGGGGTGAAAATTCTGCAAAGTCCAGAAGGGAGCATCCATGAACCTGCCTCGGTTTGTCTGAAATGTGAAGTAGAAATAGCAAAGCACATGGATCTGACTTTCAACTGGTATAAAAATGAAGAACTGCTGGATAGTACAGACCATAAGCTGGTCTTCGTAAAAACAAATCCCAGCCATTCGGGCATCTATCACTGTGAAGCTGAAAACAATGTCGGCAGATCACGCTCCCCAGCTTTTACACTGCATGTACTTTGTGAGTAATCATTGTTCATACATCTAGCTGTTAGGCTTGAGACATTGTCAGTCATTAATTTCTCTTCCATCTCTCTTTAAAACATACTTTTTATATTTTTCTTCTGCAAAAAGTGAACAATTGCAATGAGTTTGCATGTGTTTCCTCTTAAAATATGCAATTTCCTCTTAATTTCCCCCTAAAATATGCATTCTCGTAATCTAGACCCTTTTCTGGGGTTGCCCTCTAGGTATAAGTGCCATTTTAGGGTGCGACTGATACTCTGGTCTCTGGGAGTAGCTAGCTACCAAGCCTTATTTAATGGATGTCTTTTTCCAATGCTTCTCTTTAATCCCTGAGCTTGTAGTAGTAACTGGTAATCTGTTGCTCTATGAGATTGTAAAATCTATCTGTCACTATCTTAATGGCTCACAAAATAGTATTTACTTCTTTCCTTCCATTATACTGTACTTGAAGCTTCAAAGCATTAACCTTTGAGGAACAGAAGAATGGATAAAGACTCTGACATGGAGGATGAATGGGCTCCATTGGAAGACTTGGAGGAAGTGAAATGGAGAAGAGAGGAAAAGAAAGAGAATTCATACTATTTTCTTGTGAATTTGGATTTATTTTACTTTACTTTCTGTGTTCATTTTAATTGTTACTTGAACATGTTTTTAAAGAAAGACTATAGTTTTTTTAAAAATAAAAAAGGACATTCTAAGAATCAGTGTTGTTGTGCTCCTTATATTGCTAAAAACTAATAAGAACCAGAAAGGGATTTTTTTTTATACAGAAGGTTGCCTATTTGCAATCTAAACAGTCACATGGTCCAATCAGGGCTCTGTCCGGTTTTTTGGTAACCTAACTCCTCCTCTCTCTGTGCCCCCTATGGGAATGTCCTTGGTTCCCAGGGGAAAGTCTTAAACCCCCACTATCTTCATTCCCTGCTCCCTATCCTTCAGCTCCAATATGGCAATACTGAAGCTTCAAAATGACTTTGCTCAGGTCAGCTTTAGGGTTGACATATTTACTGAAATAATTTAGTAAATACTACTTAAATAGTATTGCAAATAACAACAATAACAACAACAACATTAATCAATATAATTGAAGGCTGATCTCATTGATGTCAGAGCATAGAGCCACGGTGGTTAGAGTGCAGTATTGCAGGCGACTTCTGCTGCTCACCGGTAATTCAGCAATTCAGCAGTTTGATTCTTACCAGCTCAGGGTTGACTCAGCCTTCCATCCTTCTGAGGTTGGTAAAATGAGGACCCAGATTGTTGGGGGCAGAGGTGGTATTCAGCAGGTTCTGACCAGTTCTGGAGAACCAGAAGAGGAAATTTTGAGTAGTTTGGAGGACTGGCAAATACCATCTCTGACTGGCCCCACCCCCATCTCTTCTCTGCCTCCTGAGTCCCACCTGATCGACTGGGTCTTTTGTTGCCATACACAGGAGAACGGAGCTGGAAAGCAGGTTAGTGGGGTGGGGAGGGAATGGGGATTTTGCAGTATCCTTCCCCTGGAGTAGGATGGGAATGGAGATTTTACTACCACGTCCACCAACCCACACCCACCAACCCACACCACACCCACCAAGCCACACCCACAGCACCAGTAGTAAATTTTTTTGAATCCCACCACTGGTTGGTGGCAATATGCTGACTCTGTAAAACTACTTAGAGAGGGCTGTAAAGCACTGTGAAGCAGTATATAAGTCTAAGTGCTATTGCTATCCAACCCTGAGTAATGCTGTCTCACCAATAGCCATCTTACCTTCAGGACTAGGAGTTGGTGTGAAACTCGACAGAGATAATAATAGTATAATGTCTTCCTATCCCAGATCCTTGGAAAGGGCTTGATAGTGGATAAAAATGTTATATCCAGTCTAAACAACTGGCTGACTATAGGACGACCCATAATAATAAGAGGAACTGAAAGAAGAAAAAAGAAAAGAACAACAAAAATGTACAAGAAAAAGAAAATGAAAGTTAAGAAATACAGAAATGATTTCCAATCTTCATTTCAATAGATAATTATATAATATATAATTATATTATAATTACAACCAGATTATAATGGGGGTTAATAGTGAATGTTTTGGGGAACGTGGATTTAATCATAGCCTTTCCCCAGCTTGGTCACTGTTTGTCACAAACAGGTTAAACTATTTGAAAATCCAACCCAATCCAGAAAACGTTCATTGTTAAATTGCAGTTGCCAAACAATACTTTTCTGAAGAGATATTAAAATCATGCACTTAATTCAAATTATCAAGCATCACTTCAGAATGTTTGAATTGCACTATTTTGCAGCTTCAGGTTTTCTTGTATTTTCTGTCTAAAATAGATATGGGAAGTGGGTGAAATTAAGTGAAAGAAAACTATTTTTACCGCCCCGAAGCTTCTCTTTTATTCACTGAATGAACCTGCTAAATCTAACAGATCGTTTGCATATCTGTATGGAAAGAAGAACTCTTTCTGAACGTCATTTGTAGACAGATTAGTATTGAATAGAATAGAATAACAGAGTCGGAAGGGACCTTGGAGGTCTTCTAGTCCAACCCTCTGCTTAGGCAGGAAACCCGACACCACTTCAGACAAATGGTTATCCAACATCTTTTAAAAAACTCCCAGTGCTGGAGCATTTACAACTTCTGGAGGCAAGTTGTTCCACTGATTAATTGTTCTCCCTGTCAGGAAATGTCTCCTTAGTTTTTGGTTGCTTCTCTCCTTGATAAATTTTCCTCCCGTTGCTTCTTGTCCTGCCCTCAAGTGCTTTGGAGAATAGCTTGACTCCCTCTTCTTTGTGGCAGCCCCTGAGATACTGTGTTGAAGCAATTGGATTTTTTGCAAATGTTATAGAATCCTAAAACTGAAGGTCCTTTGAAGGTCACTGAAACTAACACTCTGTCACTGGTCAAACATCTCAGAAAGATAGCCTTCCATCTTCTCTTTGAAGACCTCTCCTTTGAGAACTCATCATTTCCTGCGGCAGCCAGTTAATCCTTAGCTGTCCCAATCTCTCTCTTTAGGTTCACTCAAGGAAGAATCCTGTTCCCTGGAGCCCAGCTCATCTTTTAAATTTCTGGCCACCACTAAACAGGAGGAGTAAACACTCTTAAACTGCTGGAGCTACCAAGATGAAACCAAGCTTGACCTTAGCGGATGCACTCAGATCTTGTGTCACTCAAGGGTGGCAAGAAGGAAGTCACAGTGACAGATGTGCTGAGTTTGGAGACACAAGCTTTTTGACTGTCACAGAGGAAGGAGTACAACAAGGAACTGGTTCTTCAGAATCAACTCACCTTCCAGAACCTCAACCTTCCGAGACCCAGTATGATCTTTAAGGCAAGTAATGATGTGTGAATGGGCTTGCCTGATTTATTTTCTAACTTTGGTAGCATGAAAAAAAAATCAGCCTGATAAACACAAACAACACCTCGACTTTTGATGGATGGGATTGCTAGGAAATAGCTCCAAGAAAGAAACAGCTACGAAATTGGAAACTAAACTGCAACAGAATCACTCACAGAGTGAAAAACCATTCTTAATTGGCATATTTCCATAAACACCCATATTTTTTCTTTATAATCCAGTGGTGCCAACTTTATTAATGAACTTTCGTATCAGTTAGTGGTACCTACAATTTGTATTCTGCTCTCTTTTCCTAGGCTTAAACTGACAATGAGGTGCTTCTTATGGATGCTGTTCCTTCCAGGTAACTGTTGTAAATGTGTGTAGAACAAGTGTGTGTGTCTGTGTGTCTGTGTGTGTTTAGTATGTTCTGTCAAGGGAGAAAAGGGAATTTGAGCTACGTTAGATTGTAACAGCAGAGAGTTGTTTGGTGAAGGCTGCAAAAAATAGATTGCTTTGCCCTTAGGGCTTGAGGGATGTAATAACAGGAATCATTCAAGATTCAGAATGCCAAATGGCCGAATGGATGGGTAGAAATAAAGCTATCACGTCTTATCTTGTGATATAACATTCAGTATATTTACCGGTTGCGTTTTCCAGTTCTGCTTTATGAGTTCACTGTAAGATATTCTTTGCAAAAGATTTTGTTACTATGAGTTTTTTTTTAAAAAAGAACAGAACAGAATTACAGAGTTGGAAGGGACCTTTGAAGGTCTTCTAGTCCAACCCCCTTGCTCGAGCAGGAAACCCTATACCAATTTAGACAAATGGCTGTCCAGTTTCTTTAAAATCTTCCAGTACTGGAACATTCATAACTTCTGAAGGCAAGCAGTTCAACTGATTAATTGTTCTGGCTGTCAGGAAATGTCTCCTTAGTTCTAGGTTGCGGGTCTCCTTGATGAGTTTCCACCCGTTGCTTCTTGTCCTGCCCTCAGGTGCTTTGGAGAATAGCTTGGCTCCCTCTTCTTTGTGGCAGCCCCTCAAGTATTGGAAGACTGCTACTCTGTCACCCCTGGTCCTTCTTTTAAATTCAGCCTCTTCTATAACTAGGAAAGTTGGCGTAGATTTAACTTTCTAGACTTAATCTGCTGCATTCACATGCTTTGTGGCAGGAAAAAATAAATTCAATTTGTTCCATAGGGCTATTCGTGATATTTTCATAATTTAATTATAGAATTTTAGTTTGTTGATATTTTTTTTCTTTTGCTATCGAAATAAACAGACACGAAGTTAAAGTAACTTCTGGACCATGACAAGAAATTTAATAATTTTCAAAATCTTTCTAAGAGTGTAGTCAAAAACAATTTATTTGAGAATGTTATTGATATATCACATGCTTTTTTCAAACAGTAGCTTCCCTTGAAAATCTCCCACACAAATGGTTTCAAGATTGCATAAGTGTCAAAACAACCACAAAATGTGCTTGTTGTTACATTATGTGACAAATGTCAAGGCGAGGTTGGATCTTCCTTTCTAAGAGGGGTGGTGATGGCAAGTAAACCCACTAAAATAGTAAAAGTGAAATAAATAAGAACAACCCCAAATCAAACAAAAAAATAATATTATGTAATCTGGGTCTGAGGGAGATAATTGAAGGAAGTCCAAGAGTTTATTCTTAGCAATAGCAATAGCACTTAGACTTATATAGTGCTTTACAATACTTTACAGCCCGCTCCAAACGGTTTTCTTTCAAGCAGCATTGTCTTCTGCCCAAGGATATTTACTCATGTAGTAGGCTGTATTGTGATTATCCTTGTCATCTTCTTGTCTTTCATGCCACTCATCTTTTCCTATTGGTATCTTATGATTTGTCAATTGTTGTATCTTATGATTTATGATATGTTGTATCTTATAATCTTATGATCTATGATGTATCACTTCATTGTTTGTGTGTACACTGAGAGCTCATGCACAGGAGACAAATTCTTTGTGTGCCCAATCACACTTGGATCCTATCCTATCCTATCCTATCCTATCCTATCCTATCCCATCCCATCCCATCCCATCCCATCCCATCCCATCCCATCCCAT